TCCAGTTGGCATGTTTGTCTTTACATGTTCATGTTCTATTTCTAACCTGTTGTTTAGGGAATATATTTTTTTCTCAGATGTAATGAAAAACAACCTTTGACATGTGCTGATATATATCCATGGATACTCTTTGAATTCCAAGGCTGAAGTATTTTATTTTTAATGCTACTGTTTTTTTGGAGCCAAGGGAGACAATATTCCAAATGGAATACTTTAATAAAAGTATCAGTCTGAGGTAAAAAATAAGACTGATAATCTATTTGTAGGTAGAAAATAACAGTTCTAACCAGGCATTTGACAGTTTACCAGAGAGAAGTGACAGCATCTATTCACAAAGGCAAATATCTGCCATTCAACAAACTCCAGTATTCCAAGCCAGGGAGTTAATAAAGTAAGCCTGACCACTAAATGTTACCTCTGATAAAAAGGCAAGACAGCAAAGAGATTCACAGTAACCAGTACAGATACAGTTACATAACTGTTCCCCTTAATATATTCCAACTAGAAAACAGAAAGATAATCACATTATTTGAGAGATGGTATGTTTTCTTCTTCAATATAGAACCAACATTTGTTTATTTTCTAAAACAATTACTAACTGGCAAGAATGTCTGTAAATAGATGCTACGAAATTGTACTTCAGTACATGGGAATGAAAGACTGTAAAGCATATTGCAGTAATCCAAGGCATGTTCGGCTGTAAGCAATGCCTCCCAATCTAGGAATGGGGACCACTGGCATCTAGGGTAGAACTGTGTGAAGGTTGTCCTGGCCACAACTAACCTTTGCTCCTCAAGCTGTGATTCTAGCTGGACCCCCAGATTGTGCACCAAGTCTGTCTAGGAAAGTGTTATCTCATCATGTTGGAAAATCATCAAATGCAGATGGCCTAAAATCCACAGCTGCTTAGTCTTATCAAGGCTGAGTTCTTTCCCATTAAGACCCACATGGTTTCCAGGCACTATGGTCTATGATCATGCATGTTTAAAGCTAAGTGTTAAAACTACAGTGACACAGTAAAATATCATTTTAGATTCACAATATCTATAACAGATGTCCCTTCTGTTCATAACAGCTGCCCAATCAAGCTGGTTGAGCCTAAATGTGGGAAGACTTACCTGAACTTTAAATTTACAAATGAGCTGGGCATTTATTATGCTCATGGATAATAAAGAAACAATTCCCCTTTTTCCAGCACCAATTAGCAATTGTCCACCAGATTGCAAGAACATAAGCAAGCGGTCAGAAAAAAAGACCTGAACTCACTGGGAGCCTCACATTTCAATAAACAAGGACATACATTCAATTTTGCAACTACTAAGATTGTTGGACGATCAGGCACAAGAACAGCCAGGGAAGTTATTGAAGCCTAGGAAACAGGCCCCTTGTCAGTCAGGAGTGTTGATTTACCACCAGCTTATCAGGTACTTAGGAAGTGAGGGCTTGGCAGCACAAGGAAACAATAGCTAATGTCTTAATAGCCAGCCATTAACACCCCATCAACATCTAAAAAGCTACACATGACAGACATCATACAATACCACACACAAAATAGCCCAAGCACACATTCTGCTAGAAAGAAGTTCACTGAGGATGGGTTCCAGCACAAGTGTGAAAGCTTGGAAGACTAAACATCCGGTCCCAATGACCAGCCCAGATTGGATCCCATAGTATTGATCCCATCAAGGAGAACTTTCTCAGTTCATTCTGAAATATGAGACCATCTCTTGTCCAGCTCCTACTCAACAGTAGCAATGTGAAATAAATAATATTAACAATTGCTTAAGTAGCTCAACTGGGTAGAAGTAATTTGGATGGATCCACTTAGTGCTGCATTTAAATTCAATGGCTTGTAAGTTCCCAAACTCTGTAGAGGAACAGCAGCTGATAGGTTTCTCCTCTGCCAATAAAGGGCAATGTAACAGATTGCATATTTGTTCTGAACATTGGAGATGCTAACTCAAATTCTCAGCTAAGAGTTATCATGAATTCTAAATCACCATGTAGCACAATGTAGATGAGTGTCTCTCTCTGTGTGTGTCTGTGTGTCTGTGTATGTCACTGTGAGTGTGTACCATATAAATTTTGCTTGTTTTTGCCTGCCATCTGCAGACGTTGTCTTTATTGTTTTACCTCCTGGGTGGTGATGACATGGAATATTCAAAAGCTTGGGTGGATGTGTCAACAGTATAGCCTATATGGCAGCCGTGAAAGATGGATGTGATTATGGAAAGCCTCAAGCTTAGAAACAAGGAGACTAGAAGCAAAGCACTTGTAGGTGGAAGGGTTAGAAACTGACACGAGAAGGCTGATTGGGAAGATTTGTTAAGAGCTATGAAAGGAGGCAAGGCAAAGGAGAGGAACAAAATATTGAAAGATGAAGGATGGAATGTGAAAGGAAAGGTGAAAGCATCATAAGGCAAACCTAAAAGGACGATGTATTCTTAGCAGAATAGAAAAAAGCTGATGACTGATGTGCTGATATATGTTTCAAAGAGGGGTGAATAATAAGTGTGAAGGATTATAGCGGATAACAAATATGGATGGGAAGAAAAAAATTGCAGCTACAAGAGAAATAGGAATTCTGAGAGAAACAGAAGTCAAAGATAGGATTAAGGGGAAAACAAATCAAACGGACAAAGAATTAAGGGAAAATGTTGGCCCTTGACAATAAAAAACGTAAGTAATGGATTTTTTTTGAGGAATAAAGACCAGGAACCAGGAAATGGGAAGGATGTTGGAAATTGCCTATGTACTGTATCTCTATAACAAGCAGCACATTAACCTCAAAGGTCACGTGTTTGTGAAGTCTAAAACAAGGAGTGGCAGAGCCCAATGGGGCTGGGACACCTGCTGTCCCTCACATACGCTTTCCCTGCCTAAAACTACGCCTTTTTCACATTTTCCTTTCTTTATGAAATCCCTTCTTTGTCCTACAAGCAGTAGATATTGATTGTCGGAGATCAAAATTGATCACTTGGCTTTTTCAAGTTCATAGGTTGAAGGCCACATGAAATTAAGGGTCACCTGGTTCCCTGAACTCAGGTTGCCTGCCTCTATTCAGAAATGTTAACCTCCTTGTTCTTCTTTAGCCTTCTTCCTGTTGATTAGTAAGATCCCAATCTACAGAGAACAGTGATTCTCCTGGCATCTGTGGCAGGGTTAGTCTTGCTCCAGATCGATTTGGTCACAACAGACTGTCTTTTGTTTGTATAATTACAGAAAACATATTCAAGGCAAATAAGCACTCCAATTACTATTATCCTGCATATCTATATGAGGAAAGGGATATGGACATAGGGGATTTTTAAGTTTGCTGTTAGATGTAATCTGAGATAGATGTCCCATGAAGACTGCATTAAGATCTTCAGAACTGACAAAGCAAGTGATTTAATTATTTGTAAATTTCATGAACATCTCTAAAAGGACTTCACCCTTCGTGCGATGACTGGGATAAAAGTGAAGTAAGATAAAAGACAAGGGTGGAATTTCCTATGGCTATGAACGTTCTGTATAAAAGCTCTTCTTTTTTGCACTCACATTAGTACTGTAGAAGCCCTTGAATGAAATGGCCTCTTATATACCACTGCATTTATTGGTATCACCATGTAGGATAATGATGAAGAGTGCAGAGAAAGAGACAGAAATAGAGGGAAAAATAGCTGCCTTTTTTGTAACTTAATGTGTTGCTATAACAGGTTCCACTTCTGTGAAAAATAGCAAGGGGAAGGATATGTGCTTCAATCCTGAGGTGTCTTTAGCAATGGCAAGAAACCAGTTAAGGCAGGCATGAGATTTCCTTTTCAGACTCCTGGAGCTTACAAAATATACCAACAGTTTTCTTCTTAGTTATCCGCACTTAAAGGAAAACTAGTTGTCTATCCTGAATTTAGTGCCAAATAATTTCAAGTAGGTATGTACAATTAACTGAAATAGTCCAAGCTAAATTGGAAGTATGACAGGATACCTAGAGAAGACAAGATCTAGTTCCTACTAAACAAATACGTTAAAACTGCTGCAAAACAACATGCAATTACCATTATTCTATAATTGCTAATTAATTGGCATTCATCAATCTTTTAATTGCTGCCCCTCAGTACATGACGTACCTTGTATACAAATAAACTAAGGTTTTAAGCAGTCAATACCAAATTATGTTTGTGGAGACGGAATCACACAATAAAATACAGTCACTTAAATAGCACCATTCACTTTTTACTTCATTGTCTAAGTGTTTTTTTTTTTAATCTCGCCTTCATGTGACATAAGAAAAGTGCTCTGTGTTTTCCAGTCTCCGGCACTGTCTTTCTTCTCTTGCCTTGCATTTCACCCGAAAACTTTCTCAGTTTCATTACTAGTTCCTATTACACAAAATGATTGTCCTGGGGACATGAAACAGAACTCTTCATTTTATACTTTGCCAAGGAAACTAGGAAATATGAAGATTTAATATAATCTAATCAGAAGACCACAGTGTTGGGAAGAAGCCTATAAGGTTCTCTTCTGTTCTCTCCTATAATAGCTCTCGGCCACAGAAAAAAAAACAAAATTTATTATTATTATTATTATAATGATTAAGTATGTTTTATTAAAGCTTTTTCCTGACATTTTTCAAACATTGCTTCTTTCACCTATTACTTTCTTTTCCTCTCATTTTCTCCTGTTCCATTTTTGTTCGAGATCTCTGTGTTCTTACTTTTATTGCAAATAACATCTGGTATGCTATTATTATTTCGTTCCTTCCTTTCCTTTCCTTTTGCTTTGCTGCCTCTTCTAGGTCAGAAAAGAAATACGGAACAAATACTTGGCTAGTATTGTTCATTCCAATGTGAGGTATATTTTTATTTTTTTAGAAAAGCATCTCTTCATTCTGAAAGTGCATTTCTTCAAGGGTTTTAATCAGACCTCCTTAAGATTCTGCTTAGGACATTAAAAGAAAAGTAAGCACATCTTTTACAGTGGGAACAGTTCAAAGGAAACCAGGATAACTTTTTACTTACATGAAGCCTCATCTGATTCATCGGGGCAGTCCGAATCTCCATCACAAAGCCAATTCTGAGATACGCAGGTCACATGATCATGACAAAGAAATTCTCCTATCTCACATATGTGGTCTATAAACACAAGCAAAATGAAAGAATGGAAATGATTAATGGATAATCAAAAAGAAGCAAGACAATTAATGAAACAAGAAACAGGCAATATAGTCTTTTCCTTTCATGAAATCCAAAACATCTGCCTGAAAATATCTACATTTGTGATTTGACACAGATATGACACCTCCTCAGAAGCATCCTGTATTTATGCTTAAATTGTCCTATTTCAGTGATGGCAAACCTTTTAGAGACCGAGTGCCCGAACTGTAACCCAAAACCCACTTATGCATCATCGGGTGCCGGGTGGGCGTGGGCCTTTGGGTGGGCATGGCTGTGGTGGTAACAGACTGGGTGGGACTAAAAAGTTCAATCAATCAATTCCAACTTTGCAAGATCTTTTTTTTCCCCACGAGAAGTTGAAATTGACTGATTGAACCTTTTTTTTTTTTTTGTACATGGCGGCGGAGGCCTAAAGCGAAAAGGTTTTATAAAACCCAGCTGAAGGCCTAGGACTGGGGCGACAGCGCTCGTGCCCACAGAGAGGGCTCTGAGTGCCGCCTCTGGCACCCGTGCCATAGGTTCGCCACCACTGTCCTATTTCATTGGATAGCATGCTCACTAATGCACAAATCAAATGTAGGCTACAGGGGAGAAAATACACAACTGTATCCTACAGTGGTCTCTCTCTCTCTCTCTCTCTCTCTCTCTCTCTCTCTCTCTCTCTCTCTCTCTCTCTCTCTCTCCTGCTAATTTTGCTCATTTCATTGAAGAATGAGCAGAGGTTTCCAAACCATCTCAGATTATGGTCTTCCAAGGGGATCCCAACACTTCAGGCCCCCAAAATAATTCACAAATACTTCAGTTTAAATAGGAAAATATCTCTGTGGATTTGCTGCTGTTTGTCTACAGTTTCTGAACTATGGAGCACTACGACTGTCGGTGATGTCCTATAAGTTCTAATAAGTAATAACCTGGGGGTCGGGGGGGGGGACTCTCCAAATCTTTCTCCATTTCAGAATCAGAAACAGAGATAGATTAATTGCAGGACACGCTAAATATTTTGAGCACCTCACTTCCGTGCCAGTTATTTTGTCACAAAAGCACCATAAGCAAGACATTGCAATAGAATCTATGTTTACTATAGGAATAGAAATCTATTTGCAGTACAAAAAGGAATGTGACGCCCACATTCTAGTTTTGATATGCCCAAAGTTATAATAGAGCCAAAACAGGCATCCCAAACAAGAAAGAGAAAGAGTTGTGTACACCTTTACCCTTCAGGCCTACTCAGAAGCAACCGTGGCCATCAACTGAAACAGAAGCAAGTCACATTTAAAAAAGGGCAATTTAGACCGCAGCCTCCTTAGAGAAATTTAAAGTGGAAATGCAAATAACACAGTAGATGGTTTATCCAATCCACCTCTCCCACCTTTTCTTTTATTTGTCCTGTTAATCCAAAATCAAGCAATTTTGAGGGTTTGGATTATCTATACACATTTCCACCCTAGATTTTAGTTCAATGGATTTCAGTTAGATTTATTTGTAATATATTATAATAATATCTACTCAAATCATTCTAAGGAAAAAAAATCACATTCATAATCTGTGCTTCATGGAAAACATAGACTTAAAGTGTTGTAAAGTGAGGAGATGAAGTGATAGATTAAGTTTTCATATATATACATATATTCTATGATCAAGTTGTCAAGTTGTCTTTGCCCTTATTTGCCTATAGAAAGATTACCCTTCCAGTGAAGACAAGAAGACATATCCACCAATGATGAAATGGGCACTGAATAAGAATCTCCAGGAAAAGCATTACAAGAGGGAAAACTAATATTAATAATAAAAAAATGGAATTTCAGAGTAGGTTGATTTTATCTGCTTGGATCCTGTTTTTTTTTTTTTTTTTCCTCCTGGAGAAGTTTATTTTGAGACTGCACTTTGGAGAACATGGTATTCCCACATTTGTGGCAGTTGATAGATACAGAATTCTTCCACTAGAAGAGGGAAGTTCCGTATTCAGCACTAGTTTGCCACTGTGGGGTGTCAGGATCATCCTCCATCATCCAGGCATCTTAGGAGGAAGACGTTCTACCACCCTGGGGAATATTAATATAAACTGATGCCTGACACCTACCAAGACCAACATCTGGCCTTGTAATCTAAACTTTAAAAAACAACAAAAGCAGCATGTCCTTTACAAAGTCAGGAAAACTTTGATTTATTATGCCTTCTCTGTTCTGTTGCCTGCCCTGTGGAATAATCTCACCCCTGCAATGTGGCTAACCTGACCCCATTAGCCTTTGGGAAGGCTTTGAGGACCTGGATGTTCTCTTAAGCATTGGGGCCAAGAAGGCGATGGCCTCATCCTGACAGAATTAATATATGGAGGGCATACTGGTTGTGTGTGTGGGGGGGTTGTTGTGATTGTTTTAATGAGTTTATTATATTGGAGGGGGTTGGTCATATACCATCAGGAATCACATTTCTGAAGAAAGGGGGACTACACAAATCCTTTTAATTATTATGGTAAATCCCATTGTCAATCAGATGTTTATACTGGATTTGGCATGTTTGTCCATCTATTGGGTCCTTCCCTAGGAGCTGGGATAGGCACATGTTGTTGTCTGATGGTGTTAAAGATCTCATTGCAAGATGTAAGCTGTTCCAAGTAAAGCTGCCTTTTGCATTTGGTTGGTGGCAATTTTGTCAGTGTGGTTTATGGCATAGTCAGCCAGATGTTCAGACTGTATTTAACATTTTATCCACCTATCAAGTCTTTCCCAAGGACTAGGACAGGGGTTCTCAATCTTGGCAACTTTAAGACTTGTGGACTTCAACTCCCAGAATTCTGAGAATTGAAGTCCACAAGGCTTACAGTTGCCAAGGTTGAGAACCCCTGACCTAGGATGTTTGTTGGTCTTAAAGATATTGTCACAGGATGTAAGCTATAGTTAAAGTTATTACTATCAATATTATTATTATTATTATTATTATTATTATTATTATTATTATTATTATTTCTGTTGCTACAAATTCTGGTGGTGACAGGATTGCTTTGTTGTTGTTGTTTTTGCAAAGAGTTATCAGTTTAAAAAAAGCTCCTTTGGGATATTGAACATGCTCTGGAGCTCATATATGTGACAAATTATATGTGATATAGGTTTACTTTCTTCCTAAATGTCCCTCAGTAGATTTCTGAGTAATCAGGTTGAGTTCAGTGGGTCTTGCTCCCAAGGAAATGAGTTTAGGATTATAACCAGAGAAAGTTAAACAGTTTAATAAACAGTTGTGAAATACATTGAAATTAATTGGCATTTGCCGTAACACTGTAGAATTGCTACAATTGCGAGACATATTTCTGGAATATATACTAAAAGATTCTCCAGTTTAAAGAACTATTTTATCTATCTAGCCTGTCTGGATTAGTTTTTTTTTTTTTAAATGTGAAATGTAATATTACAACTGTTGCAGCACCTTAATGAATAATGTTTGTCATATTATTATGAGCACTAATACTATTGTCTCCTCATGTAGATACACTCTTGTTCCAGAAGGAACAAACACATTTCTCAAAATTATGTTTCAAAAGCACAGAAAAATAATTTCAAGAAAAATTATGATCTCTTGTAGCCTTATTAGTTGACTAGAAAAAATAATTAATCCTAATTAATGTGAAATAGGCAAAATCATGATCTACATTGGTGTTCACAAAATTGCTTTTGTTTTTCTATAACAGTGGATTTTAAAATTAGCATCCCTTGTCGATTATAATTTACACTCTATTCTAAAATGTCATTTTTCATATCAACTGCATACTGATGCACACTTAAGATCGCTTCACAAGGGGCCTAAATTTAGTTCCCCTCATATCTCTAATGCATCTACTGGCTTCAACTCTGCATACAGATAGGCTGCTTAAGTTCTATTGATTTTAATGGAATGGATGCATCCAAACTGTGTGGGATTTCATCTGCAATTTTTCATCAACACCTCTTGGTTCCCAGTCTCTGGTCATCGTTCAGCAATCTTTATGGTGCTAGTATGAGAGTTAGTTCTCAGAGTCAGTATTAAACAAGACAAGAACAAATATGACCTTTATGAAAACAAAGGACAGATGAATGTGCCCAACCTGCTCAAAAGAGGAGGCCAAATTGTACATTACATAAGGTAAGAAGGATAACAAATGAAAGAGTCTGAATGCTTTTAGAAATAGAGTTAGTCCTAGAATCAAAGCAGTTGCTGAACTTATTATAATCAACTTCAATAACTATTTCTTATCCTAAGTTTTTGGACTTTCTTGTGAGTGGTTCTAGTCCGACTTAATAGGTAGGACATAGCTACATTAACAGGTTTGTGCTTGATGCTCTCTGAACCTGGTTTATTTCTTGCAGATGTTTCATTACCCAAACTAGGTAACATCTCCTGTGCCTTCAGCAAGGAAACAACCACGCTCAGAGAGCACCAAGGTCCCCACAGATCTGTATCCAGCTAGGACATCCATCAGAAGCTGTGATTGTATATAAAGGATGACACATGCACCATTTCATTCTGCAAAGAATAAAACATTGTAGTTGTATCATGACAAGTGCATTATTTCCATCATTTATGTCATGTCATCATTTCCCCCTCTATGTAGATGTCCATGTTTATATTCCAGCAATGCATCATGGAGCAGAATGGGGTATTTGGATCCAAATGATGTCATTGGTGATCAACCTGAACCCTGCAATTCTATCTATTTTATGGCCAAGTGGCAATAAGTGAAATCTAGAAGGGCATCAATATAATTGTACTTTTGCAATTTCTGGATAATTGCATTCCTTCATCCATTTATTTCTTCTTTTTCCTTAGTCTGTTCTGCCTAAAATAGTGTTAACCTGTGCAAATAATTAGGACTCCCTAAACCAAGAAGGGCTTGCAAGTTTTACCTGTTTTTTCTAATTTTCCAAAAGTACGTTTATCTATTCAGAAAATGTCTGTTAAGAGGAAAATAAGGGCACAATTGGAAGACA